ATAAAAAGACAACTCTCCAATAAAAATTCTAGTTTTTGCTCCAAAAGGATTGATTTTTATGATGAATATGAAATTAATGGAACGGTATACTGATCTCCCCTAATCTAGAGTTGCGGGTTGTATATATCCCTCTTAAAAATCTCCAAAAAGTCCAAAAAATAACCCAAGAAGAGGAGTCCTTGTTGTAGTATAATTCAAACGAAAAATCAACTGGGGCCTCGAATGGCCTGAGCGGATGCCTAGTTGAAAATCGGGCACTTGCCCAGGCAACTTAAGCTTCTATTTTCTTTTTTCAAGATCAGGTAGTTGCCTAGTCCATATAACTGGGAACTTGTCCTTTAGTCCTTTTTTTCATTCTTTCTTCCATTTTGGACATCTACTTCAAATTATGCATATTTTATTCCTTTAACTTCTTCTCATATACACATTAATTCCCAAACCTTCCATTCAATCATCAATTCATAACTCTTTCTTTTCCAATTGCATATGAACTTGTTTAAAACTGAAATAAGAGAAACTTAACCCAAGTTAAGTAAAATTTAAAACTTTGCTAACATTAGAACTCAATAATTTAGCTCAAATAAATGAACAAAATGCACTTACCAATAAGGAAGGAAAATAGAAGGAAAAGTAAAAGTTGAAGAGGAAGGGGGCGATAGGAAGAAGATTTGAAGAGGTTGTATTTAAATTGTGGGGATGAAGTAGAAGATGAATGAATCATAGAAATGGAAGAAGAGAATATCAATCTTAGAAGCTAAAGTTTCTAAGGTTGAAAAGGATTGTTGGCACTCTATGTATCTGGCCTACTTTGTATTGGAAATTCAATTTAGGCCACAAATTAAAAGGAATTTCATCTTCTTACCCTTCCTTGTATATGTCATACACCATAAACCATTTTTTCAGATTGCACATGGTATGTGCTTCCTTACTCATTTTTTGATCTATTTTTTTGTTAGTATCTGGGTTCTTTTGATTCATGAAATTGTTTAATCATTCGTTGTTTTTTCGATTGATGTTAGAGGGCATTATTCAACAATTTCAGTATTTAGTTAATATTCATGGAATTTTTGTTTTAACCCAGACATTATATGATTCAATTACACCAAGTTGAAATAGCTCAATTTAATATTTTCTTAATAGACCTTGCGAGGAAAT